TTGACTGAGTTGGTGTTGAGAATCCGGATGTTGTTCACGCTTTATGCTGAGTGCAGTGCAGTAGATGTGCACACTGGTTTCAGGTTAGTGAACGCCTGTCTCACTTTGACGTCCTGGTCTGTGCCACCGCCTGTGGTTGAAACGATGCTGCCTAGATAGGTGAAAGAGGTTATTTCCTTTAAGTTTCTCGCGTTGATTTTGGTGGTGTTGGTTGGGTATCTTCATCACCTCTGTCTTCTTCACTGCAACTTGGTCTATATGTTCATTTCACCTTCAGTCATCACCACTACCGATTATCAATTAGTTTGATGTTCGCATCAATTGGAAACAATGTGTCCCCTCATCTTGTTCTTAGGATGGTAATCTGGTATTCAACATTCTTCCCAGTGAATTTAAACTGTCATATATCTGTTTTTACTTCTGCTTTGTGCTATACATTCCTTTGAATACTACAACTGTTGTACTTTTGGTTGTGATAATCATTATCTTATTGACTATAGTGATCAGTTAATTAAGTGTAATCTAATGCCAGTCATAAAATCGATTGTTGAACAAGTGAAATGAACAGAATCAATAAAGCTTTAGATTTCAAGATAAAGGTATTTAGTCTGAGAATGAACCTTTTTTGAACTTAAGGTATATTTTTTTTTTCACTTAGATTGTTTGACTCTACAAACCTATTAAAATAACCTTCAAAATCTGACTTGAACATAATTGTAGTACATCACACTGTTCAGTTATTATATGTACTTGATACTGTTATCATATGATAAGTTAAACAAACAGGAACTTAGCATAGAGAGATACAGTATGAAACGAAAAAGAAGTGAAGTACAGAAAAGGGCAGGAAGATATAAGATGTATATATCTTCACGAGTATGATCGATTTTAAGGCATACCACAATTCTACGCATAATCTGGTAGTTGAACAGAATACAGCACAAGATAACAGAAACTCTTTTTCTCAGTTTACAACTCATGTGTATATATGTAAATCACAAGACCATAAAACAGAATAAATGAAAAATACTCATCATAACAACCGACGTGTAGAAGTAAGAATGAGACGATTTATATGACTGATACTTGGAGATCTTCGCGTGCTTCGTGGTCAAGCGAATAGCAGTAATAATACGTGACTTAAATAGTCGAGTGAATGAGAAGATATAACCGAACACCATTAACTTGATCATACATTTCGACTAGACACGAATAGCGGTTAGAGTGGTCTACACAGTTTCACTTCAGTTAACGTGAAAAACCAGACAATCTGTGAACGTTTCTCATGTGTTTAACTTGTGTCCTGAAAGTAACTGGATAACTTCAAAAAAATTGATTAATCCCAAGTAAGAGAAAACTTTTAAAGTTAATAGGACCTATTTAACTTACTTTTTCCACTCAGGATCACCATGGCTAACACAAACACACACAAACCCTAGAAAGAAGATGATACCAATTTATCACGCAAGAAAAAGTACGGAGTCGATACCCGAGGTATTTAACACTACATCAGTTGCAGAATTCAAACAATGGATAGCACAAAACAGAAGTAAAAACAGATATATGACAGTTTAAATTCACTACGAAGAATGTTGAATACCAGATTACCATCCTAAGAACAAGATGAAGAAACACACAGTTTCCAATCGATATGACCATCAACCTCATTGATAATCGATAGTGGTGATGACTGAAGGTGAAATGAACATATAGACCAAGTTGCAGTGAAGAAGACAGAGGTGATGAAGATACCCAACAAACACCACCAAAATCAACGGGAGAAACTTAAAGGAAATAACCTCTTTCACCTATCTAGGCAGCATCGTTTCAACCACAGGCGGTGGCACAGACCAGGACGTCAAAGCAAGACAGGCGTTCACTAACCTGAAACCAGTGTGCACATCTACTGCACTGCACTCAGCATAAAGCGTGAACAACATCCGGATTCTCAACACCAACTCAGTCAAGTCAGTGATTCTATGTGATGGTTGAGAGACTTAGCGATGCCTTACGAAAGGCATTTCCAACAAACTACAGACATTCATCAACAACTGCCACCTACGCTCACCCGATAGTGAAGATCAGATGGCCAGAATAGTAAGAATAAGCAAGAAGGAACTCTGTCCTGGGAACGAACCAACCAACAACCTATCGCTGAACAAATATGCAGTGGAAGGAAGTGGAGATGGACTGTGTTGGGCATGCAGTGAGAAGACTGATTGAGGACATCACACGTCAGGCCAGACTTTCGAGTGGAACCGAGATGGGAAGCAACGAGATGGGTGTCCGAGGTGAGGGTGACATGAAGGAGATTGTGTGTGAGGAAGAAATGAGAGCTTGTGGGCAGTCGTGGAGCCAAGTTCAAAAGTTTGTAGAGAAGAGAGTGCACTTGAGACGTGCTACTGAAGCCCAATGTTCCACTGGGAACCCAAGGGGAAAATAATAATAATAATTAACCTGCCATCATATTGCTCTACCAAGTGAACTACGAATCACACCATGATCAAAATTTCCATTTCACCTTCAGTCATCATCAGTGGTGATGAAAGTCTGTGAACTCATGACTATCTCAGATGGACAAACAGATGAATAAGTAACTATTCATGAGTAATGTAGACATAAATGAGATTGAAATATCACTGGTTGGTAAACACAAATATTCTCGAATGAACAAAAATGAGTCAGTCAAAACAATTAAGACAATGAAGATGGAGTAAAGTCAGCGTTTGTTTACTCTGTGATGTTGACGATATACCAATTAAAGTGTCGATCAAATTCATCATCATCATCACCATCCGTCGACATGGGACTAAGCATTACTGCGTGGCGGTCGATTTGTCACACGTCATCGTATCAGCATATCAAGTGGATAGGTAGTGAAGTGGAAGATGAAGATAAGAGAATGCAGTGAAAAGGAATCTAAAGTACGAGAAGAAAGAAAGGAGGAATGAGAAAATGGTGAGATTCGGTATATCGTCATTAAGATGAGAATGATGTATGTGTGTGTGTGTGTGTGTGTACATGTGCACCACTGACTTCGATTCTGAGCCACATCATCACCTAGAGTCACTCTCCAACCACTGGTTCCTCTTGTCCCGCCCACCCCAACCACCTAGTCTGCATCGCCTCACATCGCTCAAACCAACAGTCGAATACTTCATACATTGGTGCCATGTTTTAGTGTGGCCACCTTGGGTCTTTTTCCAAGCCTGGACCTACTTCAGCCAACATTGTGTGATGAGGCAATCGGTGACTGGGCATACGTAGTATGTGTTCCAACCATCTCAATCGATGAAGATTCATAACCTCGTCAGCTGATTTACCTCTTCTCCATAAAACTCTGCACCTGACTTCTGCATTACTCAAGTGGTGACACCATGGAATACGGCATATACTAGGAAGGCAACGGTGGTCAAACACTTGAAGCCGTCTCATATCTTCCACCTTCAATGCCCCACGGTCTGCCGGGCCGGCGGTGTTGCTTTATTTGTCGTTTCCTTTCGACCATCTGGCCCCAAAAATACAAAAGTTCAATACTGCTCTAGACACAGACTTTGCTCCATTACTGTTACATTTACCTGCCTAGTTGTCTCCCCTCAAATATACTACATTACATCAACCCATTTGATTTCATAAATGCAATTCTGTTGGTTTTACTACAGTACAACATTTTTCACTTTGATTTGCTTTGTACGAAAAAAGATTCTCGACCTCTCACACACTTGTAAAGAATTCTTTTTATTCCTTCTGATGTCTTCCTATGATATACGATTATCACAGTGCTTTTAGAAAGAGTTCCCGTATATTCTTAAATTCATAGGTAAAAACAGTTTGGTAATTCCTGCAATATTTTGTATTATCCCGTCTTTGATTGGACCGAAATGATCGGTCTCTGGATTCCACTGCCAGCCGACTATCCACCATCAACATATTATTAACATTTGTCTCTTGCGTTCCTAGTGGAACATGGGGCTTCAGTAGCACGTCTCAAGTGCACTCTCTTCTCTACAAACTTTTGAACATGGCTCCACGACTGCCCACAAGCTCTCATTTCTTCCTCACACACAATCTCCTTCATGTCACTCTCACCTCGGACACCCATCTCGTTGCTTCCCATCTCGGTTCCACTCGAAAGTCTGGCCTGACGTGTGATGTCCTCAATCAGTCTTCTCACTGCATGCCCAACACAGTCCATCTCCACTTCCTTCCACTGCATATTTGTTCAGCGATAGGTTGTTGGTTGGTTCGTTCCCAGGACAGAGTTCCTTCTTGCTTATTCTTACTATTCTGGCCATCTGATCTTCACTATCGGGTGAGCGTAGGTGGCAGTTGTTGATGAATGTCTGTAGTTTGTTGGAAATGCCTTTCGTAAGGCATCGCTAAGTCTCTCAACCATCACATAGAATCACTGACTTGACTGAGTTGGTGTTGAGAATCCGGATGTTGTTCACGCTTTATGCTGAGTGCAGTGCAGTAGATGTGCACACTGGTTTCAGGTTAGTGAACGCCTGTCTTGCTTTGACGTCCTGGTCTGTGCCACCGCCTGTGGTTGAAACGATGCTGCCTAGATAGGTGAAAGAGGTTATTTCCTTTAAGTTTCTCCCGTTGATTTTGGTGGTGTTTGTTGGGTATCTTCATCACCTCGGTCTTCTCTATGTTCACTTTACGTCCCGTCTTCGCTTCCCTGCTTCGCGTCTTCTGTCAACTTGTTGAATTTTGCCTGTAGAGTTTTTGTGACACCAGACACATGTCATCGTTGGCGAAATCCAAATCTTCCAGGATCTTTTCCCCGGTCCAGTGTATCCCTCTCTTCTCACTCCTCACTGTTTGTTGCATGACCAAGTCAACCATAATCAAGAAGATCATGGGTGATGGTAGGCGGTAGCCTTGTCTTACTCCTGTCTTTACTTCAAAGGTGTCACTGAGCTTCCCATTGTGAATTACTTGGCATATGGTCTCCTTATATCGTTGTTGAATATATTATATATAAGTTAATAATTGGCTAAAATACAATGTAATTAATTAACTGAAAGTGATCATCAAAATAGATGGTTAAAACAACCTTAACTGGAACATTGAACATTGAACCATTCAAAGTAGAAACTGATACACAAATCACTATTACAATACAAATACTTAAAGTAAAGACAAGAGAAAGGAGAAACCGCACAATATCAATATCATCATCAGCTTCAATGAGTATCAATAATGAGACGACGAATAACCATTTTTATCGTGTACATGCATTATCACATGCTTCAGACATGACTGTAGTGAAATTCGGTACATCTTGTGGATTGATTTTTAATACATCTATAATTCGTTTATAGTCTGGATGATTAACAACTTGTTTCTGTTCAAAATGATACAATACATTCCCACCTATTAAAGAGAGAAAGAAATTTTTTTTTTCCTTCTTCTAAAAAATGGATTTATACAAAATTATGCAATCATAATTACTTATTATCAAATGATACATGAAATTTTTCGTTTATTAATTTACCCTAGAACTGAAATGATCGATATTTGTTATTAACTCAACCTCCTGTATAGATGTTTAACTATTCCATATACCTGAAATTTACTTGATGGTTCATTAGCTGAATAAACGTGAATCCAAGTGGTTGGTAATGTTCTAATGAGTCACCCCCTCCTAAGCCATACTATGTGCAAAATTACTGATCAACTTGTTTCAGTGATACTCGTTAAATAAAAAGGTGACTTACATGATTTAGTAGTCTAGTGGATATCACTCTGATTTTCTAAGTGATTGGTTTGAGTTGGATTGAGAACATCATCATTTATTGAGATGATGGTACATCCAGTTGACGAGTTATAAACAAGACGAAATCATTATACTCTATTATGTGACTATATATATATATATATATATATATATATATATATATATATATATATATACTGCACTCCACTACACTGCACTCCACTCCACCACACTCACCATAAAGCGTGAACAAGATCCGAATTTCCAACACTATTCTCAGTCAAGTAAGTCAGTACTTCTATGTGATGGTTGAGAGAGTTAGTGGCTCGTCAAGAAAAGCATTTCAAACAAACTGCACACATACATGATCAACACCTGCCACCTACACTCGCCCACTCGCTCGATACTACTGAAGATCAGATCACATCAGATGAGGTGAGAAGGGGAGAAAGAATAAGCAATGGTGAACTCTGACCTGACAACGAATCAACCGAGAACTCATCACACAAGAAATATGTAGAAGACGGAAGTGGAGATGGATTGGGCATATGCTGTGAAGACCGTGTGGGACATGATGCACCAGGCCAGTTCGTCGAGTGGAAGGCGAATTGAGAAAAGACGAGTTGGGTGTGTGAGTTGAGGTTGACATGGAGGAGATTGTGTGAGGAAGAAATGAAAGCTTGTGGGCAGTCGTGGATCCAGGTTCAAAAGACTGATGAGAGTGAAATGGTGACGTGTTACTGAAGCCCTATGTTCCATTAAGAGCCTAAGGGACTAATAAAGATAAGAAATAAAGTTGGATGGGGGCTGTTCACTGAAACGTATCAGTCAAATCACTCCATGAAAAAACTTGGTACACTCACATTGTTTGAAAATCAGCATTTTGTTTTAAAGATTGAAGGATGTAACGATTCAACTAGGCATTTATCGTAATTTCTGTATGTATTGCAGTATTGATGCCAACATGAAACATCTTTTGCTTGATGTTTTCAACAATCATTTCTTAAACTATATTCAAAAGCAATACTACTGGTAAATACTACTAACAATAGTCATGTGAAGTGTACAAATAATGCCTAATTATTATCATTTCGTAGAATAACGCATGTGAGAGTACGTTATATAAATCGCATACACATTAAGGTTCAACAATAGTCACATGAAAATAACTAAGCAAAAGTATTTCAAGATAATTTTCTGTTGATAACATTTTACTTAATTAGAAACTATACATTGGTGCTGAAAGGAGAGTTTATACTAAGTTATTGGAAGCACGAAGTGATAATCTGCTTTGCATTTGTAAATCCTCCTACTATATTTTGTATTAACCTCACCTGGTTAACTAGTACACTAGTTACTAACCGGTCTTAAGTCCGAGTAAAGAAGGAAGGTTTCGCAAAGGGTTAGCATCCTACCCCGGAAAACCAATCCAACCGCTAAAAAAAATTCAAAGCCTCGACATAAAGAACAAGATCCGGATCTTAAACACTAATGTCAAGTAGGTGCTTCTATGTGATGGTTGAGAGACTTGGTGATGTGTTACGAAAGGCATTTCCAATCAACTACAGACATTCATCAACAACTACCACCTACGCTCACCCGATAGTGAAGATCAGATGGCCAGAATAGTAAGAATAAGCAAGAAGGAACTCTGTCCTGGGAACGAACCAACCAACAACCTATCGCTGAACAAATATGCAGTGGAAGGAAGTGGAGATGGACTGTGTTGGGCATGCAGTGAGAAGACTGATTGGGGATATCACGCACCTGGTCAGGCCCTTGAGTGGAACTCAGATGGGAAACGACGAGTTGGGTGTCCGAGGTGAGGGTGACATGAAGGAGATTGTGTGTGAGGAAGAAATGAGAGCTTGTGGGCAGTCGTGGAGCCATGTTCAAAAGTTTGTAGAGAAGAGAGTGCAATTGAGACGTGCTACTGAAGCCATATGTTCCACTAGGAACCCAAGGGAAAAATAATAATCATAATAATAATAAATAACAAAGCTGAAAACCAGACAATTAACTTAGAACCTGGTACACAAGTACACCGCACCGGTTGAAGTTGTCACACTTCACATTGATATACAAAGAACAGGTGGATGATAGAAGACGGATCGTGATATTAAAGTGTATGCAAAGTTATGTGAGAGAATAAAAAGAACCTCAAGATAAAGGTTAGTGTGAATATTCAAGCGTTACAAAACTTCAAGAAGTGGATACATCTGCGGCATTGTGACCGACAGCAGTCCTCAACCACTACATCCAATGCGACTTCCTCCATCATTGCAAATCGAGGTAGGCGGTGGCTCGACATTTGCAGTACATATCCAAAATATTTCACTCGACTAACATTTACAGCCTCATCAATCGACTTGCCTATCTTCCTTACTACCCTCCAACTGACCTCAACATTACATACATAGTAATTCTATCAAACCCGAGCAATGCAAAATAGACGTTTATGATTAAAACCCTAAAACGGCTCTATTTCTTGACAGCCGTTCAACAGGACAGAACGAACTACAAAACAGTACACTCGTCTTTTGATAAATAGTCGGATATTTCACTAACGCCATAGGTGATGCAAGTTGGTAAATGCCAAACAGGTCATCTATATCCTAGCTGAGATTTCGACATCAATATGACTGTTCGTGTATGTACAACCTCTCAAGTAAGTGAAGAGGTAGACAAATTCCACACTTCACTTGCTTTCATTAGGCTGGGAATCGTAGCACACTAGTCATGGAGCATCATTATATATGTGACAGGTACCGGTGATTATACAATAATTCTTTGACCCATGCGTCCTTAGTGGAACATAGGGCTTCAGTAACACGTCACCATTTCACTCTCTTCTCTGCAACCTCCTTAACACAAATACACCACTGTCCGTAACCTCTCATTTCTTCATCACACAATCTCCTCCATGTCAACCTCAACTCACACACCCAACTCGTCTTTTCTCATTTGGCCGTCCACTCGACGAACTGGTCTGCTGCAACATGTCCTCACACGGTCTTCACAGCATATGCCCAATCCATCTCCACTTCCGTCTTCTACATATTTCTTGTGTGATGAGTTCTCGGTTGATTCGTTGTCAGGTCAGAGTTCACCACTGCTTATTCTTTCTCCCCTTCTCATCTCATCTCATCTCATCCCATCTGATCTGATCTTCAGTAGTATCGAGCGGGTGGGCGAGTGTAGGTGGCAGGTGTTGATCATGTATGTGTGTAGTTTGTTTGAAATGCTTTTCTTGACGAACCGCTAACTCTCTCAACCATGACATGGAAGTACTGACTTACTTGACTGAGATTAGTGTTGGAAATTCGGATCTTGTTGATGGTTTATGGTGAGTGTGGTGGAGTGTAGTGTAGTGTAGTGGAGTAGATCTCCACACTGATTTTAGATAATGGATAAAGGTCTGTGTTACTGTATTTGCGATGCTGACTTTGATGTCCTCATGTGTGCGTATGCCGTGTGTAGTTGAAACGATGCTGTCCAGGTAGGTAGGTGGTTGAGTAGGTGAAAGAAACAACTTTGTTTGGATTTCTCCTATTCATGATGATTGGTGCCTCTTTGTTGTTGTTGTTGCAGTTGTTGTTGGTTGGGTATTTCAATCACCTCTGTCTTCTATATGTTCATCTGAAGGAAGTCCCATCTAACTTCACTGCCTCTCCTCACCTGCTTTTCCACCTTGTTAGTTTTCGCCTGTAGATTTTCGGGTTCGTGTGAGAAGATATTAGACATAAGTCATGATTATTGGTAAATCCAAATGTTCTCCTGGGGTCTTCTCATTGGTCAAACAGCGTATTCTCATCTTCTTGTTCCTCACAGTTGTCTGTTGCATGATCCGGTCCAGTCCAATGGAGTCCCCCACAATCAGGAATATGATGTGTGATGGTAGTCGGCAACATTATGTGACTCTTGTCCTCACTTCACTTCAAAGGGTAACTGAGCTTGGCTTTTGGTATATGCTATCTAATATTTTGTTATGGTTTATAACTTCATGCAGTGTATAAATAGTGGAGTAAAACTTGGACACTGTTGAATTCAGTGGTCTGTTCTCCAAACTGGCCATAAAGCAGTATGCTAGTAGTGAACCTAGAGGGAATCTCACGGTAATTCCATCTTTCTGTCTATAAATCATGTCGCTGAATGTAAACTGAGCGTTAAATGTCCATCTAAGTAAAATTCCTAAATCTTCAAAGCAAGGGGTCGGTATCCCAACATTTTTGTTGTTACCTTGTATGTATCTGCCTAAGAATGAGATAGTTTCGGTAAGTGGAACATTGTTGAAAAACGATTCGACTTCTTCATCTCTTATGTAATGACGCAGACAGGAGATTGCGATTTGTCTTTTAGACAGCAACTTGCTACTCATTTTGGTTGCTATATTCTGCTTGATCACTATTCAATTTCCATTTATGTTGTCATGTTACGAAATTTCTTGTTCAAACTTATCTTGATTAGTAATCATTACACATCATTGCTTTTTTTGGTTTTAATGACAGCTCACATGATTAACAGTATTTGTGATGCAATACTTCATAAACCGTATTAAACTAGCAAATCCTTACATCAGGAAAAAAATGTATAAATTTGGGATTGTGTACAGCTTTGCAACGCTTCACCTCATCATAGAACAGAGCATAGAATGACAGCCAACTGGGTATTCACCTCAATTTCATAGACTATGATAAGGTCTTCCACAGCGTCAACGGAAAAGTAGTTTGACAGCTGCTGCAACACTACACTTTTAGTGCCAAAAACATTTACCAACTTCATTCAACACCTATGTGACGGTGATGATGCTACATGCAAAGCGATTCACAAAGGAAAGAAGTGAAATGAGGACAGGAGTCACATAACGTTCCCGACTATCATCACACATGATATTCCTGATTGTGGGGGACTCCACTGGACTGAACCGGATCATGCAACAGACAACTGTGAGCAGCGAGGAGACGGGCGTACGCTGTTTGACCGATGAAAATGCCCCAAAGGATTAGAATTTCGTCAACGATAATGATTTATGTCTAATGTCTTCTCGCACAAACTCGAAGATCCACATGCGAAAACTAACAAGTTGGAACAGAAGAGGGCAGTCTAAGTGAGGCAGCGAAGTAAGACGGGACTTCATTCAGGTGAACGTCGAGAAGAGAGAGGTGATGAAGATACCCAACCAGCCAACACCAACAAAAAACATCAATCATCATCAACGAGGAAATCTAAAGGAAGTAGTCTCCTTCACCTACCTGCCTACCTACCTACCTACCTACCTACCTACCTACCTTGACAGCATCGTTTCAACTACACACAGCATACGCACACATTAGGACATCAAAGTCAGCATCGCAAATACAGTAACACACGACTTCATTCATTATTCTGAAATCAGTGTGGAGATCTACTACACTACACTGCACTACACTCACCATGAAGCGTCAACAAGATCCGAATTTCCAACACTAATCTCAGTCAAGTAAGTCAGTACTTCTATGTGATGGTTGAGAGAGTTAGTGGCTCGTCAAGATAAGCATTTCAAACAAACTACACACATACATGATCAACACCTGCCACCTACACTCGCCCACTCGCTCGATACTACTGAAGATAAGATCAGATCAGATAGATGGGATGAGATGAGATGAGATGAGATGAGGAGAAAGAATAAGCAATGGTGAACTCTGACCTGACAAAGAATCAACCGAGAACTCATCACACAAGAAATATGTAGAAGACGGAAGTGGAGATGGATTGGGCATATGCTGTGAAGACCGTGTGAGGACATGATGCACCAGGCCAGTTCGTCGAGTGGAAGCCAGTTGAGAAAAGACGAGTTTGGTGTGTGAGTTGAGGTTGACATGGAGGAGATTGTGTGAGGAAGAAATGAGAGGTTACGGACAGTGGTGTATTCGTGTTAAGGAGGTTGCAGAGAAGAGAGTGAGATGGCGAGGTGTTACTTAATGCATGTCTTCCACTAGGAACCAAAATCTCGAATAATAATAATAATAAATATATGGAATGTCAGAATAAGGTGTGAGGGGTGTTAGCAATGGCTCATCGGTAGTCAACAACATACGAGTTCACTTTACAAAGATATTGGAAACGAATGAGTATGATCGTAACGTGTAACATAGAGCCACGTTATTTTCGGTTTGATTTTTGGCAAACTTGTACTACTGAAACTGGCTAATGTTTGTAAGTGAAAATCTCGGTCACTGCAGGATCGAAAGTAATGACTTCTAAGTTGCCGGCCAGGTCCAGTAGACTATCGTGCTATAGCTACTTCTCATAGTCAGACTATTAATCAATATGATTCTCCGCCTGTCTTATTCAGGATGATTTCCTTTAGATGCAAAGTCCTGGCTAGGCATCCACTATGAACATGATGAATAGATAGCAAAGAATCACGAATTCATATGGCAGTTGGGCAAAACAACACTTGGTGACTGAAGGAAAGTACACTTCGGCCAGTAGCCAGATCTCGTAGCTCAAAGATCGCTGGTTTCAACTTTACCACCACCTAGATTTTCATTTCACTTGCATTCATCAGTCAGTATCACGTGTGTTTATTGATTACTCCTAATAATAACAGCTATAGTTCTGTATCAAACAATACGCATGATGGCGTAACATAAAGTTGACATCGATAATTTTATCTGGAAACAACAAGTATGCAGGATCGAATGGGAGGGAGGGGGTGGGAAGAAAGATAAACCAATGAAATTACAAACCTTTTTCAACAACGAGAAGTCCACCAGTTTGCCAACCATCACCTGACATATTACCAGGTATTTTAGCAGCCTGTAAATAATAATTATAAGGAAATAACAATTAATCTGTGTTGTATTTATTGGCCAATCACAATCGAAAATTCCACAAACTGATGAGTAACCAATGATGTGTGTGACCTTGATCTAATTACCAATCAATTTCGCTGACAATAACTTGATCAGATCAACCTCCGCATACAGATCTAGTACATTTTAGCTAAACAACACACTATTTATTCGGTGATGTGACTTATGCAGACACTTTCTTCTATAGTTGTAGCAATACAACGTTACCGAAGTGTTTGCAAGAATATTTACTAGTTTTATTGGAAAACTAACGAACGATATAGGCTTTGTTTCCCTTAAAACCGACTACCTAGATGAACATATACTTCAATGGGAGACAATTTCCCTATTAGGACTCTATACCACAATCATTCTAACGTATTCGGCTTGCAGGGTTAGATAGAATCAATTTGTTTGATGAAACCTATCCGCTAATTATCTTGGTCGGTTAGCGATTGAGTGAACCCATATGATGTACGTTTTGATGATTGATGTGGACTACTCTCTCTCTCTCTCTTTTAGGTGTGTCAAAACACGCTCAGCAAAGATTTACAGTAAGTGAACTGAGTACATCACATAATCTGGCTGTCCTTGAGCGAATCCCGAGTGACCTTGAACGCACCTATAGGAATGCAGATACACATATTATGGCGTACTAATGAGGAAGTAAAAAGGAATTACAGTGGGTACTGTTTTTTTACGTGATTGAGAAACTTTCGAAAGTTTTTGACTGATCCGATATGGTTTAAAGTCGAAATAGGCACGATAAGGAAGTTCGTCATATGACTTCAGAGCCGTGGATTAATATGCGGTAGTCTTGAGATTGTTCACTTTCAGTAAATATCCTTACCCAGATGTCTTATCCCAAATTCTGAAAAGCTTCAGATACAAAAGAAATAAAACAACCTACGCTTCTGTGACGATCTTTTTTCCTTACGACTGCTTCATGTATCCAACTGTTTCACTTTCCCTACCCAAGACATTTAGCACAAAGTGTGGACGAGAATATCCCTACAATGTTGATATTATAGTACAACTGTCATCTTTGCCACATTTCACAGGGTTACTGAGCTTTTATCTAGTTCCCCCCTCCCACATACACATACACATACAAGCACGAAACGTAGTTTTTCGAAGGCGTAAGTCAGATTTCGCCGAGAAAGAACCAGTGCGAATAGATTTCTAGCTTCAGTACGATCTGCAGCCAAGTGTTACTTTGTCCTTAATAACTTGTCTGGACAATACAACATGATCCCATCACAAGGGCATGGAATACTACTCCTCACCAGTTCTATTATCCATCAGAAATTCAACTGTCTTCTCGTCGTCCGAATTCTCTATAAGCGTATTTATAATCGGCGGCATACTTTCTACAATAAAAAACCTTGCAGAACGACCACAATACTCCTTCGCTGCTATTGGTTGCTTCAAGGTCACTTGGGATACGCTCAAAAGTGGGAACATCTCATGGCTTTACTGTGAATCCTACTGTTGTAAAAAACCTTATTACACTACTAAAACTTGATCCTCTAGGTTAAGTTGGAAATACATAGTTTTACCTTCGGTAGAGAAGAGAAATGAGAATATATATAACCCAGTGACTATGCTGACCTCTGAGTAGTTGGAACACAAGGATTGTGATGTGAGCAGGCAAACTTCTTGTTATTCTTCATATTCTCTGTGTGTAATGATTTGTTTTAGAGTTTTTCTAACAAAATCGTAATGATTATGGATTTACTCATAGATACAAACTAAACACATCACTGAAAGCCTCTAATCATTGGTGTGTAACATCTACCAATCAGACAGACTGTACTTCCTTTAACACAGTCATACCAACTGTCAATAGTTAATGAATCGGTATTGCATTTCCACCTGATTATCAGTAGCCTTTCGATGCTAGCTGAACCAGCTACCAGTGCACGTTAATAGTAGATAGTGGATCATCCTATGTAACACATATGTTTCAGTTCTAACTAGCCATAGAAGCGATCATACGGCATACTGACAATACCTAGTTAAACTGTTCCATCGAGAATGGAGTGGCTGTACGCGTTAACCTAGCAACTTCTGAGATGAATTGTTCAATCGTTGAGCTTTCATTGTCACTCGAGACAACATCATCAGCAGTATGAACTTCACAAAGAAGTGAGCAATAAGGTTTTCTCTGAAATTATTTTAGTGGCTTGCCTTGATAACGTTGTGTGTGATTGGTTGTCCTATTAAGATCTTCTTATTGTCTCCATGTTCTGATAACCTGAAAGTTGGCCCTCATGTTGTCCCTTATCGGTTGACAGATTGGGTCAATGTCAATATATCTGCTGTTCGCTGACTCACCTGCATACTACCCTTCTTAAAATCTTCTAGCATTCCTTGTATTTCCTCTGTTCAGCGAAAATTCCCACATTTTGCCAGTCAAAATCATGTCTATAATTACCTGTATGCATTGATATGAGTGAAGACATGTATCAAGACGACTTCAGTGCTAGTTGATGTTCATGTAGGTGGATTCCATGTAGTATTTGTCTCAGTTTCTGTTGTAGATAATGGTTAGTTTGTCTTATTTCGTTATGGTATCTTTCGGCCTGCATAATAGAGAGTAGAGGAATTTTGTGGGTTCGTGAGATACAGTGGTTCCAAAAAGCCTTCAATAATCTAGTCATGATTTCGAAGACGTTCTTGATGTAAGGTAGGACAATCCGTTTCTTGGTTTTCGAGGTTGATTTTTTGATTGAAGATGAATCGTGTAACCATCTTTTGATGGACAAAATAGTCATCATCCTCTTCGCATCCGCCTACATGAACATCAACTAGCACTGAAGTCGTCTTGATACATGTCTTCACTCATATCAATGCATACAGACAATTGTAGACATGAATTTCACCACCTAATATTCTTCACTTTTATTGGTAGTAGGTGTAGGTGTTGCGTCAATCCTATTCCACATGTGTTGGGTGATTCGGTGAAAAAAGATTCAGTAATCAATCTATCTCTCTCCACTTAGTTGTATTGCACTTAAGTGGTACAGTGGTTTGATCCCACGCATCCTATTGCGTGGTTGTGTGTTAATCCATGCATTGCAATAGCCGAGACTATTGATCTTATTTGGGTATATCATTCTATATTTAGCTGAATTCCTATGTTCCCTAATCCAACTGACCCCGACCGGCTAGTTTCACCTAAGTACTTGACCTCACAGTCATTACATGGAATTTGATAGATTAGATTATTTTACTTAATCGGTTATATCAGATCCTTAAGCCAGCCTACAAAGCTTATCTCCAAGTGAGTTTGTAGGTTTAAATGTCACAGTAACTACAGCTTTGCTGGGGATCCTACGTAAAGTTTCTGATTCACCTTCCTTATAGAGTAACACTATGGAGGCTGTGAACTCCTTTCTATTTGTGTTGTCATTATTATTTGTACTCGTGTGACTTGACGTCTAGATATCTGTTGGTTTTCTGTAGGGAGTAGTATCCATGTGTATCCGTCTGTCCTTCGTTTTATTGATGCATACAGACATGAATTCGACTGGAAAAGTGTGAAAATACTTGATGAAGCAAATGGTAATACAAATATACTGACATTGACGTAAACTATCAAACAATCAGAAAAATGAGAAACAAGGTCAGAGTTGACATGACAGGCTGCGAAGCCATTTATGGCGAAATTCGCATAACTCACTCCTTTATGGAGTTTTGCCGATAATGTTGTCGAGAATGACAATGAAAGTTTAACGACTAAACTATACAGCTGAGGTCAGCGAACATAACACTACCCAAAATCATCCCTCTGAGCTACGAACATCCTCAAGCATCTCAAAGTATGGTCTCCAGTCATTGATCTTCAGTGTCGTGTGTATCTAGCCGAATCGAATGAACAGATGGGCTATATGATAAGAGTATAAGAAGTGGTAATATATATTACGAGGGATGATAATTCAACTTACTTTCACCTTTGAATTCAAAGCTCGACCAGCTTTCGAGAATAAAGAAGAGAGACCAGAACATGCAGAAACTTTTTTGTACTCTAGTGCTTTGTATGTTTTACGTTCAACATCCAAATAAAGATCTGCAATGAAAACAGTAAATTTGTTCTCTAACCAGAAATTTCACTATAAAGAAAATTATTTATCTGAAGGTATTGACTGAAGGTGAAGAGAAAACTTGCCACTTGGTGGAATTAAAACTAACGACCACCAGATTACTTTTCTCATGTTGTGACAACTATTATTGTTAGTTGCCCCTTGGGTGCCCAGTGGAACAAAAGGGTTGAGTAGCACGTTGCCATTTCACTCTCTTCTCTGAAGTCTTTATAAAACGGCTCCAAGACTGCCCATAACTTTTCATTTCTTCCTCACACAATCTCCTCCATGTCAACCTCAACTCACACACCAAACTCGTCTTTTCTCAATTCGCCTTCCTCTCGACGAACTGGCCTGGTGCATCATGTCCTCACACGGTCTTCACAGCATATGCCCAATCCATCTCCACTTCCGTCTTCTACATATTTCTTGTGTGATGAGTTCTCGGTTGATTCGTTGTCAGGTCAGAGTTCACCATTGCTTATTCTTTCTCCCCTTCTCACCTCATCTCATCTCATCCCATCTTATCTGATCTTATCTTCAGTAGTATCGAGCGAGTGGGCGAGTGTAGGTGGCAGGTGTTGATCATGTATGTGTGTAGTTTGTTGAAAATGCTTATCTTGACGAGTCACTAACTCTCTCAACCATCACATAGAAGTACTGACTTACTTGACTGAGATTAGTGTTGGAAATTCGGATCTTGTTGACGCTTCATGGTGAGTGTAGTGCAGTGTAGTGTAGTAGATCTCCACACTGATTTCAGAATAATGAATGAAGTCGTGTGTTACTGTATTTGCGATGCTGACTTTGGTGTCCTAATGTGTGCGTATGCCGTGTGTAGTTGAAACGATGCTGTCCAGGTAGGTAGGTAGGTAGGTGTGTAGGTAGGTGTGTAGGTAGGTAGGTAGGTAGGTAGGTAGGTAGGTGAAGGAGACTACTTCCTTTAGATTTCCTCGTTGATGATGATTGATGTTTTTTGTTGGTGTTGGCTGGTTGGGTATCTTCATCACCTCTCTCTTCTCGACGTTCACCTGAATGAAGTCCCGTCTTACTTCGCTGCCTCACTTAGACTGCCCTCTTCTGTCAACTTGTTAGTTTTCGCATGTGGATCTTCGAGTTTGTGCGAGAAGACATTAGACATAAATCATTATCGTTGACGAAATTCTAATCCTTTGGGGCATTTTCATCGGTCAAACAGCGTACGCCCGTCTCCTCGCTGCTCACAGTTGTCTGTTGCATGATCCGGTCCAGTTCAGTGGATTCCCCTACAATCAGGAAGATCATGTGTGATAGTAGGTGGCAACCTTACGTTACTCCTGTCTTCACTTCACTTCTAAGGCATAACTGAGCTTTCTTTCTATTGTAAATCACTTGGCATGTAGCATCATCACCATCATATAGCTGTTGAATGAGGCTCATAAAGGTTTGTGGCACTAAAACCATAATGTTGAAGTAGCTGACAAATTACTTCTCGGTCGACGATGCCAAAGGCTTTTTCAAAACCAATCAAGTTGAGGTCAAGATCCGGTTGACTGACACTCTACGCTCTGTTCTGTGATGATGAGTAGTGTAGCGTGGCAATTTGATCCTCACATGATTTCTTCCTCATGAAGCCAGCCACCAGCCACCCAGCCTGCACCGGTGTTAATTTTGAATGGAGAGAATTTTTTAGTCTCTCCAGGATGATGCAGCTTAATATTTTGCTTGCTTTGGGTGGACAGGAGCATGATTCCGCGCCATTTCTTGCAAAGACCTAGGTCTCCTCTCTTTGGGAACTTGACAAGGTAGCCATCCTTCCAATCGGCAGGTAACTTTCCTTCCTTCCAAACCTTCTGCAATAGTGGTGTCAGCGTGTCGCTGTGTTGTGACAACTGCTCATCATTTAAAATTCTTTCCACCAGAATACTGATGTTGACTTTATTGTTACTAATTATTTCACATAAGTTGCTTCATTCGCCTATCGATTCATCAGTGTCACTGGAAAACTGATGGAAATTCAGTAGGTTGAGTGAAGTTCTGTCTCATGATCTATACTTAGAAAGTGGAGTGTCTAAACTAACGATCTGCAGCTTCATTAAGATTCGAGTAATGAAGTTCAAATTATTGAGATATAATTCAAATACATGACTTGATTCTCTGGTCTTTGTAATTGATGTATATCGAAAGAAGCACTCGCCTCATCATTACCATTGGAGTGCGGAGAAACAATGTTTAGCTGTTCTGGAACTGGCTAGAAGAACCATACATATGATAATTTGAGGTATCTCAGTGAAACGAGTTGAAGCTGTCCCCAGCTACTATCAATCAGCTTACAGTAGGTATTTGGATAACTTCTAAGAGATTGCAGAGAGAAAAGACCAGACATTTCTGCACAACTGTCCAAGTTGTCAAACCCAAAACGGCAAGTATACATTTCCACATAGAACTCAGATTAAAAGTCAAGAACTTGATGCATTGTGGGCTATTTTGTAGTCTGGCTGTACTTAACGTTTCTCCAGCCTAAACGAACTTCAGCTAACATTGTGTGACGCAGCAAACTGTGACCAGAGATGTGTCGCATATGTCCCAGCCATCCCAGTCGAGGAAGGTTCACAACTCCATCAACTGTCTTACCTCTCCTGCCTAAAACTCTACATCTGACTTCTGAGTTATTCACTTAGTGACACCATGAAACATAGCCTATGCTACAAAGTGAACGGTGGTCAAATATCTGAAGCTTTCTCATTTCATCTAACTTCAAATAGTCATGCTTCACAGCTATATAGTAGAACAAAACAAACTGCAGTACAGTACACTCAACTTCTAATAGACAATCAGATGTCGGAGCTGTGCAATGTGAGCTGCGAATTGGGCAGAGGTGAACGTGACCGCGTTTTTATAGGACACAATTAACAATCAAATTCAGTCGAAGCGGATACGCTGGAGTTTCTTTGTATCTCTAATGACTGACCATTGTTTTTTTAAACATATCTTCCGCCTATTTCTCGATTCCTTATCATTCTCCCTATTCCTTTTAATCTTGGTAATGGAATATTATTTTGTACGATGAGTGTCATGATAGGTCACAGGTTCGAACTTTAAATCACCTAAAAAGACCTTACCAATCGGTTGGTATAACCGCCCTTGAACAAAAAGGGTGGTTCATTACCTAGTAGTACATAAAAATGTGTGTGAGTCGAGTACTTTTGTTCGCATGCTAAATATTCCCACTGAACCAGAATTTCAGTCAGTAGGCAGTATCAAAATGAGACCTGACAATACTGAACAACAGTTCAAGCTGTCATTCATAAATCAGCACATCAAGATACAAGGTCACGAAGATCTAAGGTAGAGAAATATAAAAAACCCTAATTGAATTCCTCTGAAAGTCAAAAGAAGACAGAGGTAAGTTAATAACGAAATGTGAGATCATGTGTAAATGAGTCTACTCTACTACGATCAATTTTAAACCATCTCATCACGTACGGTCTCTAATCATCCACTTCACTTACTACACGAATCTCAGTTATGAGGTTTACATTCCTCAGTACGGCTCAGACTAGCAGTCGAAAACTTGGGGAGCTTTGGTCGTCTTCGGCTTTTTCCTGTCCTCATTACGGGCATATAAAGGAAAACGAAACAATCCATGCCTAACATAACGCTTAAAATGTCTTTCACATTTGATGTATTTGTAGCGGGTGCTACTGATAGAAATGGATATAAGTAGTATATTTCAAGTTGTTATTCACCACAGACTGACATCAGTTGGAGGAGCAAAGGAAACCTGGAAGCACCGACAGCTGTTTCCTCCTAATACGGGACTCCTCAGCAGTGCGCATCTACGACACCGCCAGGGATCGAACCCGCGACCTTCAGGTCCCGTGACCAGCATTTTACCATTGAGCCACTGGGTCAGAATCCGATAGTCTATATTTCCAACCTCTGTTAGTTCACGATATGGCGCAACCGCTACCCAACGTTCTCGTTGAGCTAACAGAAGTTGGGAATATGGACCATTGGATTCCGACCCAGTGGCTCAATGGTAAAATGCTGGTCACAGGACTTGAAGGTTGCAGGTTCGACACCTGGTGGGGTCGTGGGTGAGCACTGCTGAGTCCCACACTAGGACAAAACAGCTATCCAGTGCTTCCAGGTTTATTTTGTTCGTCCAACTGATGTCAGTCTACGATGAATAACAACGTGAAATATACTGCTTATATCCACACAACTCCCTCAAAATAGGTAGTATATGTTGAGAGGTGGACAGAAATCATAAGCAATTACCGGAAGTGGGTAAATATTCTCTGCCTAGAGGAACTCGAGAGACAGTCTGAACGTATTAAGAGCAAGTCAAGACAGAAGTAGAAGAGGAAATGAAGCATATTGTGCAAATTACTGTTTTAGTGAAAAGTGTATAATATTTCATCACTACTGTGTCTGATGTCACACAAACTTGAAGATCTACAGGTGAAAACTAACAAGTTGATAGAAGAGGCAGAGAAAACGGGACTTCAAGTGAACGTAGAGAAGACAGAGGTGGTGGTGGTACCCAACCAACACCACCACCAACAACAACAAGCTCCAATCACCATCAACGGGAGAAACTTAAAGGAAGTAGCCTCTTTCACCTACCCAGCTAGGCAGCATTGTTTCAACTACAGGCGGCACAGGCAAAAACGAGGACGTCAAAGCAACCAGGATCGGAAAAGACAGCAAGACAGGCGTTTATTGACCTGAAACCAGTGTGGAAATGTTCTGTACTCAGCATAAAGCGTGAACAAGATCCAGAATTTCAACACAAATCTCAGTCAAGTCAGGGCTTCTATATGGTTCAGAGACTTGGCTATCGTGGAGCCAGGTCCAAAAGATTGTAGAGAATAGAGTGCACTGGAGACGTGCGACTGAAGCCTTATGTTGCACTAGGAACCCAATGGACAAATAATCATAATAATAATAATACTGCGTCTTCTTACTCATTCACATCTCTGTTAATAAGAAACACTGGTCT